ATCTAGGGCAAAAAAGCATAAACTAGGTAGGTCATTACTGGTAAGTAATGTGTAACATTCAGTCACTAACATCTTTGTTTTACTTCACAATTGGAAATATACCTCCAAAATATCGATCACCATTGGCTAATATTCATTTGCTATGTGTCACCAAATCTGTTACACTTCAAAAGTACGGAGCACATAAGGTACTTCAACCTATAATGAACGAAATAAAAAAATTAGAAGAGGTAAAACATTTTAAAGTTGTAATTTTCATTGCCTAATATTTCAAGGATGGAATATCAATTAAAACAGATGATTGTGTTCATCATTTTTATGGTACAATATCAGTTTTTCAGGGAGGCAATTTGGGGAGCCAATTCATTGGAGGATATAAATCATTAGCATCTGCCCATCGTAAATGCCATCATTGTTTATCTGTTAGTGATGACATGCAATCAAAGGTTTGTGTAATTTTAATGCTTAAATTATATTCCTTAAATTCTTTTTAGTTTTTAGCTCATGAATTTAAGGAAAGGAATAGGTCTCTTGATATCAAGATACAGATGATGTTATTTCCACTCTGAAAAGAATCCCAAGTATTAATAATACCAGAACACATTATACACACTATCATCATGTGGTACTGTTTGTACTTCAGTTAAATTGTTCTTCCTCAAATATACATGCAAACACCAGCTTAATTTTGCAACTGAAATACTTGATTTTAATTTTGCAGTGTTTTTTTATTATTTCCAAAACTAAAGATAATGTAAATACAGTACATGACAAGTATTTAAAATTTGGCCATGTGCAGTAGTGTTTTGTATTACAAAAATTATAGTTCATAATAGTTTTGTAAAAGAAAATGATGTTCATACTGCATCATGTAATGATTTTAGAGTTCTGAGTGTGCTCTGCTCTTTCTCATACCTATTATCAGTAAAAGTATGAATACAGTATATACTGGTAGTGATGCATCACTTACTTTCAGCTACTGCCTTTTGGTCAATGTCTTTGAGAGCCTTTTCCAATGAAGTCCATGCTGCTCCTCCTTTATCATCTACTTTATCAGCTCTCTGTAGCCATGTGTGCAAACATGTTCTCAGACGATCATTAACATTATCCTCATCAGCTTTAATAGTGTTTAAAGTTTCTTCAAGTAAACCCAACCTCAGGCAGAGCCTGTGCCAAGTACTGGCATCATAATTATTGCTCTTTAGTGATGATACGACTTGTTTCAAATCTGTAGTTTCCAGATGTTTCTCTAAAATATTGACAATAAAAAATAAAGACTGCACTATCACATAAAATACTTACCCATGTGTGATCTCTGCTTTTTTTCCTCATCCTCAACTATAAAACAATTAACATGTACAATTAAGTTGTAATAAAACTATTTTACTTGAGATGGT